TGAGATGAGTGGTGTTGTGCTGGCACAAAGGAGCCCATTTACCTTTAGTGGGGTAATAAAAGGCTATAACTTTATTCATCTGTACAGAGGTCATAAATCACAGTTTGACAGCCATAAATCATTCACATTGTTATCCCTTTGACATATGTGTACATATGTACATATAACCCATGTTATAATTCATGTTGTAAATGAAACCATAAATCATGCCCTTCCATAAATCATACTATAAATCAATCTTATGTCAATATTCCAATCATAAATCAAGCTATAAATCATGTCATAAATCATCCATCAATCATGGTGGCAGTCTCCCAAAATGACCAGTGCAACCAGCAGTCCCTCCTGATATATCAGGCAGGCTCTGTGCCAGTTTGATGCTGTGGAGCAATTTTTCTTTATCCCTTCTCTTAAATTTTGGTTAGCCATTTCATTCAGTGCTTTTGTCCTACTCTAAACATTTCTGTAACCAACTAAAACCTGCCATGTTTGGGAGAAATCTGTTACCATCCACAAAGATGTTTTCATTGTTGTCATTGTTGTGCAAAAACTGACACAATGACAGATTTAAGAATACTGTGTATTTCACCCATACCATCATAGTGCAGCATCATTTTACAAAGTTGGTACAGTCATCTCTTTGTTAAAGAATATGACTTGTGAAATAGTTGCCTGTCTGCTACAGAATGAACAATTGTATTAAGATATCTTTCTGATAATCAAGAATCTTGCAAACCAAACAGGGGAAGAACTACCTTGGCATGAAATTATTTCAGTCTGAGTGTGACGTGGAAACAAAAAATGAGTTTGCATCAGGGTTGGGGGGGGAATGAAGCCCATCAAAAAACTGGAGTTTGGTGTTGGGTTTGTTTGTTTGTTTGTTTGTTTGTTTGTTTAAACTGGGTTTTTGTTTGTTGTTTAAACCAGGTTGGGGTTTTGTTGTTTTTGTTTTCTTTTGCTTTGTTTATGCATTAACGTGTAGGACTACACCAATATAGGTCTAAATCAGACAATCAATTAACAAAATGCAGTTCAGATGTTATGGACACTAAATAATAATTGTTCTTTACAAAGCACTCTTTTAAAGCAAGTGGTTTTGATTGAAGTTATGTTAATTGAAAGATTTGTTTTTGAATGTCATTTCTCACACTATAAAATAAAGTGATTTAAAAGAAGCAACTGACACTGGATACTGGTCTAACAACAAACTGTTAAAAGTTAAATTGTTTAAACTAAAACAGTAATTGTTGTTCCAGTAAGAGGGTTGGAAAATAATAGTAATATCCAGACTTTTAAAACAAAATATGAACAATCAATTTAAAAAAGCAGGAGTGGTTTGCTGGTTACTCGGCCTCATGTATCCTGGTTTTCATGTGTGAAATTTTGGGAGGATGTGTTTTCATAGCAGCTGCTGCCAAACACTCAAGGAGGCAGAAATATTCTGCTTTCTAAAAGTTGTATCAGATTTGTGTCAGTTTTATTCTTTATTTTCTATTTATATTTCTTTCCCACTTTTTATTTATCACCAAATCTATTCTATTCATTTAAGCCTTCACTGAGGCTATAGACTTCTTTCTCTCTAGTTTTCAAATTAGCATAACATAGCTAGGACAGTTGCAAAGGGTCACTGATCTTATTGGTAAATATTTCAGCTTTTCCCAGAAATGTTGCAGAATCATAGCATTTTCTGGCCATTGGTCTCCAGCTTACACCTTTCTCTGTCTCCTTGTATGAACACATGTCTGAATGTATGTCCCATGAGCATAATAATTCATGCATCTTACAGAGTGAGTTCTGGTTCACAAAAGCACTTAGCCCCAGAGGGTGGGGAGGTAGTGGGATGCACGTGAGTGTCCCTGCCACCACTTTGTGTGCATTCAGCTGAAGGGCTGCATACAAAGGAAACAGCAATAACAATGCAGTTTTCTGCACACTTAAGGCTCATCCACACTTGTCAGAATACTCTTGGGCCTCATTCCCACTATGTTATAAATGACCCTTGTTCACATTTGAGCTGAATCGCTGACGTGGTTTGATGAGGGTGGCCCCGCACTAGATCCATTTAACATGCGTCTTTTTGACATTTATTTTTTCCATGTCTTTTGCAATAAATCGATTCTGCACAAGTGTGAACGGGATGCATATCGGAATCGATTTACATTTACCCTTTAAATTTGCCAGCCAGATGAAGAGGATCCATTTTGAATTGATTCATTAGTCAATATGAACGAAAAGTGGGTTATTGTACAAGAAAAAGCGATCAGGGCAAATGTAGTGTGAACCACGCTCTGCTGTTGAACTGAGCCATTGATTTGGATTGCAAACTGATTTATTTGTAAGTGGGAACGAGCCCAGGATGCTTCTAGAATATTCTGGCCCTAGAGTTTCTCTGGATACCCCCTGCTCTGCACTCTGTAGCAGTACTGGGTGGCTGTCTACAAAAACATGCTTTCTGTGTCATCTGGTGCTGCCACTGCTGGCTCTAGTTGTTCCTTGTGAGGTCACAACAAGATGCCCAGGGTCACATAGCTGGCGCTGTGTTTGCAGCACCAGTAGTGATACTTAGTGACATAAAAGTGTGTAGATAGCTGCCCTACGTCGCTGTGGGGTGCGCTGGCTTTTCCTGCAAAATTCAGAGCAAAAACTAGTTTAAGGGTGAGATAGGTGGATTTGGAGCAGGATTGGCCTTATGTCATGAGGACAGTCTACACTCGAATTGGGGATTTTGCCCTGAATCATGAAGACAGATCATTGTGAGAACAGGGGAAAATCACTTCATTTGGCCCATGTAGACATGCTCTTACTTGGAAATAAGCAAAATTGAATGTAAGGAAATGTACTGCAGATTAGCATGCATAGGAATAGGCTGCAAATCTGTTACTCTTTTACTGACAAGACCTTTTGCTGCTTTTGTTACACCAGTGTAATATGGCTACTCTGCTGGAATAGTGAGTTATCCTAGCTGCTGGACAAATCGGTCTAGTTAGACTGGTGTTTGTGTAACAAAGCATTAAAAGAAAGAAGAAAGTAGGGTGATTGGCAGTTTCAATAAACACTTCAGCTGCCTTCCATGCTCCATAAGTCTTTGCTATGTTGTGCAGGGCAATCGCAATAAATTCTGTAGGACCTGTGTGGTTTCTGGAGCATAGTAGCCTGAAAAGCTTTATTGATTAGAGCCTGTTCATCTCTTCTTTGGTTGCAGGGAATAATAAAAAAAAAGATATTGGCCAGTCTGGTGCATAATATATTGTATGACTTATTTAAAGAGCATTGTGTCCCACCACTGTTTCAACATTTGAAAGAGGCTTACATTCAGTATGAAGGGGTAAAGCTGAGCTGTGGTCTTGTTTTCAGTGAATTGTTCAATTTAGTGTTTTGTTATTTTTGTGTGTCTTTAAGTCATTTCTGACTTATGGTGACCCTAAGAGTAACCTATCATGAGGTTTGAGCAGTTTTGTTTGCAAAGTGCAGTGGGCTGAGTGGGTTGTGCTTTCATTTTGTTGGGCAGAATATGGGACTTGGCCTGTGCTATCCTGCCTGTCTGCTTAGGGCCTGAGACACGTCTGACCAAGTGACATCAGAACATGGTCAAGATGGCAAAAATTATTAAAGAGGGAGACCACACAGTCTAGGAAAGGCTACTGCTGTTTGCTTTTGCCTGAGCTTACTGGGAAGGCCAAAGGTTTGTCCTCCTTCTCCTCTTTCCCCACTGTTGAGTACAAACAAATTTTGTACTTTGAACTCAGTTTGGAGCAAATGAAGTAAGCTGTGGGAGGAGGAGGGAAAAGCAGGTACATTTTAAACCAGCTGAAAAAAATGAGATGACAGAGGATTAATCATGGCTGCCCCTGTCAAATTGGGACAGTTGGGGGGGGTGTGAGTTCATAATAGGGGCATAACTATAATAGACCAACTCCATTTCTTGTCAATAGTAGATCTGGCATCCAAGCACAGCTATGAAAACCTATAGGATACTATTTAATTACCAAATCTCTCTTGATATGCAACAGAAATCATTGCTCATCTCTTTGGAGGAGTTATTTGAATAAATTAAGGGAAGAGAGTTATTTCAGAAAGCGAGAAAGATGATAGAAAAATATCCTCAGGTACAAATCCATTTCAGCAAGATGGAGTCAGTTTACCTCACACCTGAACATGGTCAGGACAAGCAAATAAGCATTGACTCCTAGAAAAGAATGACAGTGAAAACATAGAATCATAGAGTTGGAAGAGACCACAAGGGCCATCATGTCCAACCTCCTGCAATGCAAGAATACACAATGAAAGCACCCCTGACAGATGGCCAGTCAGCCTCTGTATAAAGACCTCCAAAGAAGGAGCTCCACCATTCTCTGAGGCAGCATGTTTCACTGTCAAACAGTTCTTACTGTCAAGACACTCTTCCTAATGTTGAGGTGGACTCTCTTTTCCTGTAATTTGAATCCATTGCTCTGGGTAATATTTTCTGAAGCTGCAGAAAATAAACTTGCTCCTTCTTCAGTATGATATTCCTTCAACAGGCTAGCATGTCCCCTCTTAACTTTCTATTCTTCAGGCTAAACATACCCAGCTCCCTACGTCTCTCCTCATAAGGCATAGTTACCAGACCCTTCACCATTTTGGTTGCCCTCCTCTGGACACACTCTAGCTTGTCAACATCCTTTTTGAATTGTGGTGCCCAGACACAGTATTCCAGCTGAGGCCTGACCAAAGTAGAACAGAGTGGTACTATTACTTCCTTCAGTCTAGGCACTATACATCTATTGATGCAACCTAGAATTGCATTGGGTTTTTTTAGCTGCCGCATCATACTGTCGACTAATATTCAGTTTGTAGTCTACTTTGTTGTGTGAACCTTCAAGTTGTTTCTGACTTATGGCGATCCTAAGATGAACCTATCATGGGTTTTTCTTGTCAAGATTTGTTCAGAGGAGGTTTGCTAGTACATTCCCCCGAGTCTGAGGGAATGTGACTTGCCCAAGGCCACCCGGTGGACTTCATGGCCAAGCTGGGTATTGAACCCTGGTCTTGAGTGGCAGTACAACACTCAAACCACTATGCCACACTGGTGGTCTATTAGGACTAGATCCCTTTCACATATACTGTTTGTCAAGCCACGTGTCCCCCATTCTACGGTATATAATTTTTTTCTACAAAAGTGTAGTACCTTACATTTCTCCTTGTTGTTTTTGGTTATTGTTTTTTGGTATGGCAGAACATTCAATCATGTGAACTTTAAACAACAGCCTGAAATGGTACTTCTGGAATACCTCTTCCTTTTCTCCTTAGCGAGAAAGGGATGTGAAATTTGTGGTTCATGTTAAGGCTGTTTATCTGAATTGGATTTGAACCTTTTTATTTATCCAGGTGGTGTATATTCAGATGTTGTAACACTTTTCATAATCTTGCTCCACTCTCACTTTTCCCCCTCCCTTTCATGTCTCTTTCTTCAGTTCTTATTCCACATATTGCTCAAGAATCAGGACTTTGCTCACCGCCTCTTGTTTCCATGAAACACTCAAATATTATATACTGTGTTATGAAAGCCACACTTCTCAGCTGTTGCCCTGAGGTCTAGATCAATGTCACACCCACACACCATATGAGAACAAAGCCATATTTATATTCATTTGGCTTTTGATGGCTCCAAATATTCCTGGTTTGTTTGAATTTCATTAGTAGCTTGAATGAAAAGTTTTGACAATATTTGAGCTTAAAATTATCTCCATCTCATCTCTTTGCCTCAGTCATAAGTTTGCTTCAATAATATCTTTCAATCATGCATTTTCTTCAGATCTGAGATGCCCTCCCCCCTTTTTTCTAATAGTCGAACACAGCTACCTCTTTGAAAAGTGTTAAGTACAGACTGTCATTTCCACAGGTAGACATGTAGTGGGTATACACCTAAAATCTACAAGTCACTTATCACACCTTGATATGTCTATCATGTATCTCCAGTTGCTTAGAAATATGGCTCTCCTCTCCACACTTTATGGTTTTTAGAGTTGCAACCACCAAAATGTGGTTTGACTGTTGGACAACCAGGGTTTGAATCAGGGTTTGCCAACCAGGGTTTGAATCATGGCTCAGCCATGTAAATCCACTGTTGACAAGTCACACTGTCTCAGCCTTGGAGAATGGCCATGGGCATCACCCCTCTGAAATACTTGCCAAGAAAGCCCTCTGATAGGTTCATCTGAGGGTTGTCATAAGTCAGAAATGACTTGAAGGCACACAACATCACCACAACCAAAACACATATGATCTGATCTTAGGCAGAACATTTTCAGCTGATTTTCTGTTGCAGAAGAGGTATGTGGTATGTGGAGAAACATGCATCATCTGAACACTTTACATTACTTTTGATGAAACCTACATCATTCTCAGTGTTTTGTGGAAGTTGGGAGGGAGAACCTATTACAGTCGCCCCTCTGTTTTCGCAGGTGATCCATTTCATCCCCACTCCACCCTCCGTGAAAATGGAAAACCTCAGATATTCAAGCCCAATTGGCTTGTATGGCCGCACACTCCTGTACGTGGCTGTGCATGTGAGCTGTGGGTGCACACGCCATTTTAACAATGGGGCTTGCCAGTCCACAAAGGACTAATACCGCGGACTCGAAGTCCATGAAAACGGAGGGGCAACTGTACTACCTTACCTACTACAGTGCATTACCATGTGTTTTTTTAGATGCTTGTACAAATATTCCAGTTTTATATAATATTTTGCAAAATCCCACTTTCATATTATGAATTAAGTAGAAGAGGAGAGACGTACTCTGGTGTTGTTGGACAAATGCTGGTAAGCCATGTTGATACAAAAAGGCTTTGTTTGCATTGCTCGACGTGTTTCAAGGGAAACCCTTCTTCAAGAGCTATGAAATTATAAAATTATAAAATTACAAAGTTTATACATTCTTGAACCAATATAACAACAACAACAACAACAACAACAATAATAATTTTTAACCTGCCCCTCTGCAGAGCAACTGGGATGGGTTACAACATTAAAAATTTACATAAATACAATCCCCATCCTATCTCAACCAACCCCAAAACCCTCCCACCTCTAAAAAATTATTAAACAATATTACAAATTTAAAATCACATTTAAAATAAATACATTAAGAGGGGCCAACCCTCATTACCCTCATTACAACAAAAGTAGGGAAGGAGAGGAAGACTAACTCTTAGGCTGGGATATCTAGTGAGGAAAGGCTTGCCAGAAGAGATCCATCTTGACAGCTTTGTTGAAGCTGCTCAGAGTAGTAATTTGATGGATCTCGTCCGGCAGGCCATTCCATAGTCTGGGAGCGGTAACTGCGAAAGCCCTCTGGGAGGCAGCAGACAGCCTAGTTTTTATAGGCTGTAGGAGATTCCTCCCAGAGGACCTGAGTGCACGGGGTGGGAAGGAGGTGGTCCTGAAGATAGGATGGACCCAAGCCATTTAGGGCTTTAAAGGTAGTAACCAACACCTTGTACTGAGCCCAGAAACTAATAGGCAGCCAGTGAAGAGACTTCAAGACAGGTGTTATGTGGTCTCTCCTTGATGTTTCTGAGACCAATCTGGCTGCCATGTTCTGTACCAGCTGTTGGCAACCTACGGCCCATGGGCCAGGTCTGGCCCGCCGAGGCCTTGGGACAGGCCCATGGCCGGTCCTGCCGCTGCTGCCGCTGCCGCCATTTTGACATCCAAAATGGCACCCGCACTTGTGCATGCATGCACACGATGGCCGGCGCCATTTTGTAATGCCCAATGGCACTGGCATCATGCGCATTCACATGCCACCAGCGCCGTTGGGCCTTCCAAAATGCCGCCCCCACACGTGCACACATGCGCACAATGGTGGGCGACGTGCACATGTATGTGCATGCAGGCAAGCGCACACATGCTGGCCCCCAGCGCCATTTCCCCCCCTCTTGGCCCGCGGCAAAAAAAAAGTTGCCGACCCCTCTTCTATGTTAATTGAAGTTTCTGGACCAAGCACGAGAGTAGCCCCATGTAGAACGCATTACAGAAGCCAAGACGGGAGGTTACCAGTGCGTGCACCACAGCTTCCAAGTCCCTTACTTCCAGGAAAGGGCTCAGCTGGCATATCAGCCGAAGCTGATAACAGGTACTCCTGACCATCGCATTTACCTGATTTGTCATCCAGGAGCATCCCCAGACTGTGAACAGAGTCCTTAGCAAAGAGTGTGACCCTGCCTAGGACTGGAGGTTATATCCTAATACCTAGTTTCAGGGCTGTTACTGCAAACACCTCCATTTTTTCTGGATTTAGTCTCAATCTGTTTTTCCTCATCCAGTCCATTACTGCCTTAAGACAGTCATTGAGACGAGAGATGCCATCAGAAGTCAAAGCCAATGACCAAAACATGGAGAAGTATATCTGGATGTCATCACCATACTGATAACACTGAGCCCCATGTCTCCGAATGATTTCTCCCAGTGGCTTCATGTATATATTAAATAGCATCAGGGACAGGATGGTGCCTTGGGGGATGCCTTGTAGAGCAACTGTCCCTGAGCCTCACATTCTGAGATCTGCCCAAGAGGAAGGAATGGAACCACTGCAATGCAGTGCCTCCAATTCCTAACCCTCCCAGGTAATCCAAAAGGATGTTATGATCTATTGTATCAAAAGCCTCTGAGAGGTCCAGTAGCACCAACAGGGTCACACTACCCCTGTCGATGCTCAGACAGAGGTCATCAGCCAAGGCAACCATGGCAGTCTCCACTCCAAATCCTGTCCTAAAGCCAGTTTGAAATGGATCTAGATAATCGGTTTCCTCCAAGACAGCTTGGAGTTGAAGAGCAACCGCCCTTTCGATCACCTTGCTTTAAAAAGGTAGTAATGAGACTGGCCTGTCACTATTAATATCCAGGGGGTCCCGGGAAGTTTTTTTCAGAAGCGGCTTAACCTCAGCTTCCTTCAGACAAGGTGGAATATAGCCTTCCCTGAAGAATGCGTTGACAATGTCCTTAAGGAACCTCCTCAATGCATCACCCCCCTGGACAGCCAGTCATGGTGGGCAAGGATCAAGAGGGCAGGTTGCTTTCCTCACTCTACCAAGAGCTTGTCCACATCATCGGTACTCACAAATTGAAACTGATCCAGTTGCTGGAGTTGCTGGACACCTCTTCACCTGATTCTGTTATAATACTGGCATCCAAGTCGGCTCTTATTTGAGAGATTTTATCTGCAAAGATTTTATCTGCAAACAACTCTGCAAAGAAGTTGTTAAATGCGTCACAGCAGGCTGTTGTCGGGTTAAGTAGTGCTTAATTGCTGTGCTGGGGAAACCCGCGACAGCTCCCCTACCACCCTAAACAGCTTCGCTGGACGGGACTCTGCAGACACAATAAGTGCAGAGCAGAAAGATTTCTGCGCTGCACGTATTGCCTCTCGGTAGGAATCAAGAAAATTCCTGTGACGAGTCTTGTCAGATAAGAGTCGAGTTTTCCACCAGGGCACTCCAGTCATTGTCCAACCAATACCAGACTACTGATATACATATCTATTAAAATATCTTTCTTTTTCAGGAAAGAATCAACATAAACTGTTTGGCAAACCTTCATTTTACCAAGGGCCTGAACAGACTGCCAGAAATAATCCAGTTTGAGACTGCTTGAACTGCTCTGGCTCAGTGCTAGGGAATCATGGGAATTGTAGTTTTTTCTGAGACATTGAGCCTTCTCCGTCAGAGAGCTCTGGTGCCACAATAAACTACAGTTCTCATGATTCCCTAGCACTGAGCCAGGGCAGTGAAAGTGGTCTCAAGCTGGATTATTTCTGACAGCCTATACGTGCCCAAACTCAAATAAAACCTGCATGAAACTTACATATTATCATTATTATGAATTAAACTATTTGTATTTTATTTTCCTGTTCCATGTCTCTGCTAGCTGGGCTCAAGTACAGAAGAAACAGGTGAGATTTTAAAAAAACGTTTAACAAATAAAAAGATAAATGCATAGATACATAGCCTAAATACCTTAAAGACACACCTCCCATCTAATCTTGGCAGCTAAGCAGGATCATCCACACTGCAGAAATAACCCTGATTAG